GGAAAGTTTGAAGTTCTAGATTCAGTTTAGTACTATTGTGGTCCATAAACTTCATACCCATAGACTAACCAGTTTTCTTGCAAAGGATAATGTATTAACATCATGATGTTTCCTTAGAGATCTTCAAGTTAAGAAGTGTAGGATTGATGCCAAAATGTTAATATTTAGCATTACTGTCCCTCTAAAATTCTTTTAAAGTGACAGTCAAACATACTTGAAAAGCCAGTTGTGAACCATTTACAGCTGATACTTTGGCTAAGATTTCACTTCCCCCTAAGATGGTCATTCACTTCCCCCAGAGTTCTAATTCTGCCTTGAACATGAAACCAGTTGGGCAGCCTCAGCTCACTCATTTTCTCTCAAACCTAGAAAAGAGGAAATGGCAAACCATCTCTGAAACAACCTTGTCAAGAAAAATCCAGGGACTTGTCCAGGCAGTCTCCAAGAATCAGACATGATTGAATGGAAAGGGGGGGGGAGGTGAAACTGGAGGAAGAATCATTATGGGATTTAAAACTGATTTGCACAAATTCAGCATACCTCCCATCATGAGCCATGCAAGTACAAAACAAATAATTCCCACTTTGGATATTCACCCAAAAGCATTAAAACAGCATCTGTAGTGTGATCATTAAATGAAAGTTTGAGTCATATGTTTTCTCATTTATTTATTGTCATGAGATTCTCATGGAAGATTCAGACCATGTATAGACTGATGTGCCTCTCAAAGAAAATGCCCATTTACTCTTTCCCTTTTTAGGAAAAGGAAAACCAGTGATAACTGAGGAGAAATCTAATCAAGTTCTTTCCTTGATTCCCAGCAGCAAGTAGATTTATCTTTTAGAGCTGGCTGCTATGATGCTGAAGAGGTCTTCAAATAAATCTTGAAGAATATGAAGCTACTTACCCCCAAACCCTTGGACTTAATGGCAAATGAGCACCAGCCATTGAATTTGAGAGGACTGTTCTGAAACCCTTTTAATGCGGCTCTAGAAATTCCATTTGGATCATTGATGGGACTCCGATGAAAGATTCTGTGGACTTTCGATCTAACATTTCACCTCAGTCACAAATTGACTCAAGGAAGGAAAACCAGTGGTTTCATTCTGTTTGAGACAGAATGAAAATTCACAGTTTGGAAAGCTCCAGTGTCTCACTTTAGAAGAGACCAAAAAAGATGGTTTCCATCTCCTCAGCTGTCCTTCTGGGCACTCGGCTAGTTCAAACTCTCCTACCTATTAAACTTTTAGACTTATTAGGATTTTATTGATATCTCTTATCTCTTTGCCCAAAAACACACAGATGAAAATCCTGGGAAATAGATTTTCTAAGAAGAAGCTATTGAGTGAATGGAGGATAGGGAAAGGAAACTTTACCTGCATTTCTGTGCCTGCTCCTTGGGGAATAACTTTCCCATTTTGCCTGCCATCACCTAGGTGCTTTTGCAGTACAGGCTTCAGTTTATACTCTAAGTAAACCAAAGTCATTGCTGATTTGGCTGTGAACACGTAACAGAAAAAGCAGCCTAATAAATCTGATTAAAAGCTTAAATTCATTATAAGAACAGCTAGCAGAGTCATTGGGAGTCATGTGGCATACAAATTTGATTAATAAAGTACATTTGTATGTGTGCAAGAGGGATGCCTTAATGTTTATGTAAGTTTATTCCTGGTCCATTGTTCACTCTCCTTTGTTAATTATCTCTATGTAAATCCAGTGGTAGACTCTTTCGTCATTTTTTTCCAGTCATTTGAGGTAGAATAGTTTCACCTCCAACTCTCATGAAAAAGTTTAATTAGGAAAAGTAGGTAAGTCAGGGAAAAAATAATATTAATTAGAACTGTTGGGTCTCAAGGCAAATTTTCTATATATTAATTTATTAGATTTATATAGCCAGCACCTATCTTATATAGTGTAGCTTGGGAGCTTACAATCATTGCAATATTGTATGTTTCTAATAATGGTAGCTTTAGGAGACATTAGAGAACAGCAGGACAGAAATGAAATTTTATATTAAAGTTGGTTGCAGGTATGTGCGTTTTGACTTTGCATATGTGAGTTCAATTTAACTTTCTGTGTATGTGTCTATAATGTATTTCTGCATCTTTATACTCACATCCACCTGCTTACACACTCACAAACATGTCCAGTAGGATCTACCCACAGGAAGGAAAGAGATTGGCAATAATTTCTTGGAACGGAAAGTTAAAAAGACACTGAAGCAGGTGAATTGTCCAGTGGGAGAATAACCTCCTATCCAGATCAAATGCCTTTTAAACTATGGCCAGAACATCTTGGTCCAGACAGAATTTTCCTAACAGAGAGAATAGCCATAGAGTCATAGTGTCAGGTCCAGTGATGGATTCAGCCGGTTCGCAGCACTTCAGCAGAACCTGTAGTTAATTTTTTATTGCACAGGCTCAGAATGGAGTTCCGGAAGTGGCACCCACACAGAGAACCGGTTGTTCACATATTTGAAACCCACCACTGGTCAGATCAGTATGAATAGAGAAGAGGAACTGCTTAAGGGTGCAGTATAGGTACGCTTGGAGTCTTCCCTATAAATTACTATCAGATCAAGGGCAGTTCATCCTCTTGTGCCATCCTCCATCTTTTAGAGAAGAAAGTTGTCAGGAATTTTTTTTTAAAAAGCCCATGCTTGGTAGAGTTTGTCTGCCAACAGATGTAAGGGTAATTAAAGTCTCTCAGGGTCTGGATGGGGAGGAACAGACTCAGACTCAACCCTTCCAAGACCGAGTGGCTGTGGATGCCAGCGCCTCGGCATAGTCAGCTGATTCCATCGCTGACTATAGGGGGCGAAATCCTGGCCCCCTCAGAGAGGGCACGCAACCTGGGAGTCCTCCTGGATTCACGGCTGACATTGGAAGATCACTTGTCGGCCGTGANAGTGTCGGCTGGCGACCCCCAGGGGGAGGGCCTTCTCTGTGGGAGCCCCCACCCTGTGGAACGAACTCCCCCCAGAGATCCGGATTATTCCGGATCTCCCCTCCTTCCGCCGTGCCCTCAAGACATGGCTTTTCCATCAAGCGGGATTGGCCTAGGGGGGGATTTTATAGGGATTTTATAATTTTTCTAATACAGGTTAATTAATATATATTTTAATTTGGCTTTTAAATATTTATTGTATAGCTCTGTTTTTATTTACCTGTAAGCCGCCCTGAGTCCCTCGGGAGAAGGGCGGGGTATAAATTAAAGTAATAAATAAATAAATAAAATCATTATGATTTCATGCCTCTTTGACAGATCTGCAATTTGCTTTTGAAAGGCATCATCCACATCCTTTTGGTTGGATGACACCAATAACAGTATTTTAGTTGTTCCTTCACATATTTAACTCTCCCTATAACCAAGTTCATTCATTTGGTTTTCTGAGCAAGAACATTTGCATATAATACCATTCCTTCTTCTTTTCTATTGCTTTTACACATGTTTAAATGAATTGTATCCTTCATTTCCAGCCATGGGAGTCATCCTATCAAGTCTCCATTATGCTATTAAATCATATGTCCCTTCCTGTATTAAGAGGTCAATCTAATCTCACTTCCCATATTCTTGAGTATTAGTGTATAAAAAATGAAGGCTATGAGCTTTGCAAACCAAGGTTCTTTCTCATGTTTCACTGAGTGGTTTAAAGAGACCTAATTTCATCCGTGCTCCCAATTTCTACAGTGCAGTAGTTTTTTGTCTTAAGTCCTCCTTTCAGGGTTTAAGTTTTGGTTTCCATCCTCTGCAGGTCTTCCCACTCAAGCTTGCTACGCTTTGACCCAGCACATCCCTACCAGTTCTTGTGAGGTGCAATCCGTCATCTAGATAACTTAACCCATGGTCTCAAAAACCAAATATATCCCATCAATATCATTTTTTGTAGGGCCTTGCTGACTTGCATTATTCTTTCTCTTTCCAGTTCTCTTCCACTATTTAGAAGGATGGATAAGAATTATTACCTGATCCCATGGATCTTCAGCGTCTTTCTAAAATTTTCAAACTGATAAAACAGCTGTAAGCTGTTATTTTGTGGTGTTATTGACCCCCTATGTATTAGCAGAAAAGGAAAATTCTCCAGGGACTTGGTAAGTCTTGGAAGGACACTTCACAGGCCTATGAGTATGGTTGGCATATATTTGCTTCAATTCTTCACAACAATTAATCATTAACTACTCTCATTGTTTTCTTTCCTCTCTGCCATTTAGGGAAGCATTTTCCCGTCTTCCATGTTCTAACTTCCATCTTCCTTTCACAAGGAGATGAAAATTGTTTCTGAATTTTAGTACTCCAGAATATATTCTATGTCTGGTCTTTCAACTTGTCACTCTTATCCACTGGCCTTGCTCCACTATTTTATAGTCTTTCTTATGGGAAATTGCTTTCACTGTCAGTTTCTGTTGCTGAACTTTCTTTCTTGGACCTAATAAATTCAGCTGAAATGTGACCATTTGCTACTCCAATACCTTAGCTTTTTCTTGACTACTATGAACTTGGATTTCCATTATTTTCAATTAAGAAGAATAATTGCAGGCCATAATTTGCAGTCTCTATAAACTAATCAGTCCAATCAGCATACACCAGGATCTAGTATATACAAAGCCTCTCTCTATGTACATGTGTGTGTATGTGTGTATATAGATAAAAGTTATCCATAACAAGGTTTTTGATAAGCAGGGACAGTTGGAATTATTACCAAGTTACAAAATAAGACAGCAATGTTTCACAGGAAGTACTATAAAAATTCCTTTATTTAGTAGTGTAGACAGATTCCTTAATATCTGGAAGTAATAACCCAGTTTTATGATGGGGAAATATGAATGTCCTTGTAACTACAATTAATCATGCTGCCAGCATCAGGTTCTCTGCTCACTTTGCAAACAAAGCCAAAGTTAAACAAAACTGCCTAGAAAGACTGCTTAGGACACCAATTTCAGCTTGGAGAATTTCCCAGCAATGTCCTCATTTGATGTGCCCTCTTTTTTTCTGATTCCTAGGTGTGCCAATGTTATCGGTGCAACCAAAAGGAAAGCAGAAGGGATGTGCCGGCTGCAATCGTAAGATCAAGGACCGCTACCTTCTGAAGGCCTTGGATAAGTACTGGCATGAGGATTGCTTAAAGTGTGCCTGCTGCGACTGCCGCCTGGGAGAGGTTGGATCTACACTTTACACAAAAGCCAATCTCATTCTCTGCCGCAGAGATTACCTGAGGTAAATGTATATATGTGCATATGGTTGGGCTATGATTATCCTACTCATAGCTTCCTTGCTCTGGCTGTATAAAGTAGATTTAGCTTTGTGAATAAGACTTCTGGTTGGAGGTGAGCAAAACGATGCCTGTGTCCAGTGTGGGTTCTTGATCTTCTCAAAGCCAAACTGGAAGGTACATAAATGATTGAAGGTATTTAGCTTGTTAGCTTTTGGCGAGCCATAGAACACCTGCAACAAGGGGCGATGGGGATGGAAAGTACAGATAGGGCCATGGGGAGAAATTATTTGGATATTCATCTCATGAATGGACAAAAAGGCCTTTGCACAATTCCTAAACCCTAAAACTGGCTTAATAAAATACAATTACTCTGTTGACCTAATATGCTATACCTCTGTCCCTTTGCCATCATCCCCTCCAAATCCACCATATTATGGCTTAAGATGATGGCCTGGTTCAACAATATGATATGATAACAGCCGGATTTCTACAACACCCTGAACCACAATCTACCTAGCCCCATTTTAACCTAATGTATGTGTTGTTCAGACTTGCCAATATGTAATTAATCTGTCCCTATGTGGGCGAGAGTCAAGTTTTGTTATTTCTTTATAGGAGGTAATCAAAAAGATTTTTCTGCAAAAGTGCAATAGCATCAACTCTTGAAGCAGTCTTCCTGCAATAATTGGTTTGTTAACAAAATTATTTTCAGTATAATACAAAACTCAACATCTTGAAATAAGATTGAATTATGCACATGTTCTGTGCAGAAATGTCTCTTTTATATAGCAATCAATATATCCTTTTCTTAATTAAACCGTAGCTTGCATTTTCCTAGAAATGCTGTCTTCAATGGCTTTCTGAAGCTCTTATTTAAATTAATATTGTGAAATTGATGAAAATAGCTTTGTTAATAGAGCTTCGGAAAATTTCTCCATTTGCTGGGACTATTTATATGGGATTTTTTTTGGGGGGGTGCCAGGAGAACATAGCAATTGCCCCTTCTTTGAGTCATTAGTAGAATTTTTATTTCATTTCACCAAAAATAACTCAACTGATTCAGTAAACAAACGTATAAATGTTATACTTAAAAAGTCCATCAAGGTACACCTCAGTGGAAATGCCATATCTCAGCCATGAAATAATATTGAATTTCTTTCTATGTTAGGACAGACAGGATAGAAATGCAAACAATAATGCAAATAATAAGTAAGGAAAACCATGTATAAAATATTCATATTGTTTGATGGTCTAAAGCAAGATTGCATTCCTAAACATATTTACTTAGGAATAAGTCACATTGAACTCAGCAGAACGATAACAGATCAGGGAAAATTTAACAACCTGCATAGGGTGACAATTTTATATGTGTTTGTTATTTTAATTCATAGAAGAATATATTAGTTTGACCCAGCATCTGACGAGATTTGTAATATTTTCAAAAAGGTTAGAAAGTTGATAAAGGTCTTTTTCCTTTATCTTTTCAAAAAGATCTGTGCACTTCTGATGGCCACATATGCTTTGAAAAGTAGAAGCTCTTTTTTCTATCAGATGGATCTGCTGACAGTAATGCAGATGGACAGATGGATCTGCTGGCTACCGGTGGAATTTATAATGGAATTCTTTTCAGCCCTGTTGATTAGAATTACGTAAAATTAAATTGTGAAAGCATTAGGGGAACAGAGTAGATTTGCCAGATAATAAAATGACCTTTTGAAATAGCACCATAAAATCCATTTCACCACTACGTCGTTGGAAGTGACCTCAGAGTTCATAAAACAATCTTTGCTCAGTGTAGAATCTGCCAACGCATTTTCAACAGCTGGCTACTCAGACTCTGAAGACATCCAGTGAAGGGGAACACAACCACTTTATGAGGCAACCATCCCCTTGACAGCTTTTGCCCTCAGGAAATTCCTCCTGATATCCAATCCAAATTTACTTCCCTATATTTCCAATCCATTGGTTCTGGTCCACTTTCTGGGGCATCAAAATGTATTTTGACATCCTTTAGATATTTGAAGATTTCATCATATCTCTTCTTGGTCTTCTTTTCTGCAAACCAACCTTACTCCATTTCTTTAATTATTCCTCACAGGACATGACTTCTAGTTTCCTCATCATCTTGGTGGCAGTCCTCTGAATTTATTGTAGTTTTTCAATATCCTTTGTAGATGGTACCCATAGCTGTAGCTAGCGTTCCAACAGGCCCTAATAAGTTAGAGTAGAGTAGGCTATTTTGTGCTGTGACCTGAACTCTGTCTCCCACTAATACATTTCAAAGTAGTATTTGCCTCTTTAAGAGCTACATCATACATGTTCATCTACTATGTAACAAGCAGTCACACAAAAGGCAAGGAGAGGGGTAGTATGATGGAATGTGCACACACCGTAAAAACAAGGACTTGTCTGAGAACTAAATAAATAGAAACATCACTCCACAATAGAACCTGGGTTCTGAGATGGAAGCATGCAGTTGTCTAGTCACCAAGAAGTTGGTTAGCCAGTCAGGTTTGAAGAGCCAAGGTTGAGCATACAAGCAGAAAGCAAAGACACAGGAATATTAATCTAAGGTTGATGCAGTTATTCCCAATAAGTGGGGAACTTTTGGTGGCTGCTTGGCTCTCCAAGTTTTTCAATATGTCCTTGGATTCCATCTTCTTCCAGGGTGGTCAGATCCCTGATAAGCTGATGCCTCCCTCACCCTCCTTCACCTGCTCGGACTGATAGCTAGCTGAACAGTCCCAGGTGATTGACTGTGTATGGAATCTGGAGGATGATAGTCTGCTAAATTATGCCCTCACCCTCTGAGCCCCTTAATAGGTGCCAGCCTTACAAGGTAGTCCAGACAGAAAGGAACGAAATTAGATTTTGTTGTACATTAACAGAATCTTGCAAGTCTGAAAGTATGTTTGTTCCCTGTCACTTTACAATGCAAGAAACTAGGGAAGATCCCTTCTGAGACATTTGCCTTGCCCAAATTATTATTACAAGCTAAGCTGCCTGTTACCTGCCTGTTGCCCTGATGTGGCTCTTCCCACTTTATCATTCCTACATTCAGGTGATAATTAGCACTTTGAATTGAGCCCTGAAGCTTACTGATAACTAATGTGGTGATTATAACTTTATTGTTATTGTCCAATAGTAGATCTGATCTACTATCAGATGTTTATCTACCACATTTTGTATCATCTTCATGACCTGCCTCAGTGACAAATCCATACTGTCTCTTAATGATGATATCAAATACTGTTAAGAGGTTTATTAGGATCAAGAGGAGCACACTTGCTGCATCTTTGCCCTGCTGAAATTTGTCTACCAGAATCTATTTTCTAAGATGAGAAATGGGGGAGACTGGACAAAAGTTGTCAACTGCAGCCAGAAAGAGAGCACACCATTGTCTCTTTCAAGGCAGATGGATTAAACATTTTATCCCACCCATCCTTCATTACAAAGGTCTGGACCACTCTGAATAGGGACAACCAATGAGACACAATAAATGTGGCAAAGAATTGAAACTACGCTGCTCGTGTATGTTTGAAGAGGTTCTGTTACAAATGCTCAGTCATGTCTACTTTTAGTTTTCCACTTAATATCTTTTGATTCCTCAAGTAGGATACCAGTTTAATTAATTAAACTATAGCTCTTCTGGAGTGATCTGTGATCCTCAGTTTGATCAGAAAGTAATCTGACCATGCCAAAGGAAAACCAGTTCAGGTATGTACCTGCTTACCTGTGTTGGGGCTATCTGATTTGTACAAAGCCATGGTTGCCTTAGAGGCCATGAATTTATTAACTACAGTGGACCCGTCCTCCAGAACATAGAGATGAAAGTCACATAAAACTAGAAGCTATGGAAACTCAAGTATCAGCATTGACATGACCCAGGGATTCAGGATCAGATAGGCAGATAGTAAATTAACACCCACCCTAGCTGGTGTCTGTGGTTTACAGAATGTGCATTATTCCTCTTAACATTTAAAGCAATGACAAGTGGTCCAGAAGAAGTGTCTGGTATTCCAGTAGACTATCTCAACCTCTGCCTTCCATGTCAGGTCTTTGGTATTAATGGCGGCCATCATACTTCATCATTTTGCAGTCATCCATGGTACCTACTGCCAAGTGTATCACCTTCTAAGGATAGAGGTTCTTCTGCCTCAGCTTTCCAACTAATCTGGAATTCCTTCCTGTGTGATGTTCTCTAGTGCTGCCAGCCCAAAGCTTCCCTGACCTCACTCCCCCACTCAACCTTCTCAAGCCATTCTCTGATTAGTATCCTTCACAGTTACATGAAATACTCACTTTCACTTTTCTCAGGCTTCTAACTTTCGCCCACATATTCTTCTCCACCGTAGCCACTTAAAAATGCTGTATCCCAAAGTAAAATTCTGCACTAACACAACTTGCAGCTAACGCAGTGATTACCTAAACCAAATCCTGATTTAAACAACAAATCTGTCAGAGAGAAAGAGCGAGAGAATAGAGGAGAGAGGAAGAAAGGGAGAAAGAGAAAATGATTACCCTGGAATGACTTGCTAATTATTGCATTCTTGCTAATTATTGCATTCCTGTTTAGGTGCTCACAAACGTGCTGCTTGAGGAACTTCCTGCTTAGTGTTTAATTATTTATTTATTTATTAAATTTATACCCTGGACCTTTGGTCACCCATCTAACAAACATATCAGCAAGAAGGTTTAAATTATCAGGGTACAAAACTAAAGCTAATAAATAAAAAGAGAAAAGAACAACAACAGGAAAAACATAGAAAAGTAAACCTTATCCATTTTATGCTGCATAAATACAACTGAGTTAAATAAAATCTGGTAGAAGGAAAAGTATCTTTTGAAAGTATTTCAAACTAGCAGCTTGCTGCAAAGGGCTGCTGCTGTAACAGGTCAGCTGAGAGTAGGGCAACTAAAGAAGCACACTGGAAATTCATTTCAGGTCTTCTTCCCATTTGTAATTCAGTAACACAGAATCACACATTTCTCTAGGTTTCCC